CTATAAGTTTTCGAAAATAAAATTTTTGGTCAAATATTTCAAAAATATTCATTAAAAATATAGATATCGCCGATAATTTTCGGAGCGGAGCTAATATTAATGTTAAGGTATACTATAAAACTGTCACGAGACCGAGGTTTGTGTAACCAGACCCTAAGATTTTATACCTGAGTATCTCCAATTGCATTTCTGTATCAGGAGGAAATCTGTTCTTCCCCTCATCACCAAAATCTTCCTGACTTTTTTTCACCACGCGGGTCGTCATTTCCTCGTCAGAACCTCTGAAAAAACAATTATTTAGAGGTTATTTAGATTTGTCATTAAATTGTTGAGGTAGTGGTGTTTTTAATTCATACATATATCACAACACATTATCGTGTTTGTGCCCTGTAAGCAAGCAATCTTATTTCACATTGATACTTAAAGCGGGAGAGTCGTCACCTGCGCATGCGGTAGACGGCCATAGCGTGTCGATGTTTACAAACAAGCGTCTACCCATGAACCTTTGCGTTCCCTCAGGTGTGAAGTGGCATCGGTAATAATGGTTAATGAAGGACAGTGTACACTAATTAAAAAAGAAGAATATTTATATAAGGAAAGTGATATAGGAAAGTAATAAATTACATTCTCTTATATTTGTGGAGCACTTTCATTTTCGAATATCATGTTAGCCTAGACTTTCCCTTTAATATTCAAGGCACACTGATCATGTTCATGACATTAAATCCTGATTCGGTATACCGAGCACTATGACAGCTATGTGAAGATTTTGTTACTATGTGTTCATACTAGAATTGTATTAGTGCTATAGTGAAACCAATGATATGTATAGATGCAGTTTGTTACTATGTGTTCATACTAGAATTGTATTAGTGCTATAGTGAAACCAATGATATGTATAGATGCAGAAAATAACAGGAATCGTTTTATCTTAGAATTTCATAAACGCGAGTGAATTTTAACAGAATTTCCTACCTATTACTGGCTTTTCGGTGTGCATCCGTTACAATGTAGTGCCCTATAGAAGCTACTTGATAAGTAGATTCACTTGATAAGTTTGCAATCATGTATACGAATAAATAAATCAGTAATCCAATAACGGAGAATATCAAACCAAACTTTCTTAGCGAAGCATATAGTGGGGTATTTGGACTTCCCATTTATATCGATGGAGTTGTAGTAAAATCAATACACGTGTTACAATTTTCGGATTGAGTCTATGCCGTGTGATGTGTTGAATGTGGTCAGCTCATAGACGAGTTTACGACGCCATGTAACAGTTAGTTGAATCGTCATGTAATACATTTACCATTCTATAATACTAGTATAATACTAATTTTACAATTGCAGGCAGTGAATTATGGCTGTATGCCAACAATTATAATACAGTGCCATATGTCAACCGAACTCTACTTAGGCGCATTAATGAAATTCAATAATTTATATTGAATATATAATTTATATTTATTTTTTTGATAATTTGTAATTTTAGAATCAATAACAATATATTAATTTTGCCATTGAGTAAATTTTTGAGATATGAAGTAATACTTTTAAAATTGTACAATAGAAAAAAACAGCTCAGTGTGAAGTTTACTGTCCGCATTTGTATATTTTATCTATCTCCACCCCGGCAACCATCGCCGGTGAAAATAAAACCCGAAAGTTGTCAGGAAGCGGTACTTTGGGCTAGTTGTTGAAACTCTTGTGAACAGCCTAGTGTAACACGACAACCCATACATGTGCTACATCTATAAACTGCTATAAGCAGGATTCATTCAAAGTTAAGTATATACTGTTATTTCGAGCTTAGATGCTCTCGGACCGGCGTTCCACAGCATCTCGCGCATAGCCTAAAACATTATACAGTGGTGAGCGTCAAAGTCACATAGAACGTTATATGACATAGCTTCTCCCCCTGGAATAGTCTAATTTTCGTCACAAGTTTACAAGACAGTGACGTCAAATTTTATGTCATAACTTTCAACAAAAGGATCGCACATTCCGATGATATGCAGGTGTTCAATTTGGAGAGCTCTCATAGAACGATCATGGGTAGACGCTTGTTTGTAAACAATGGCCATATGACGCATACACAGGTGACGACTCCCCCGCTTTAATATAAAAGAATTACTAGTATTCTTCCTAATTAGCACAGACATATTCTCCATACGCGCCACATGGCGATAAATGAAATATGTTAAGCGGCATGCAACTTACTCACACACAATATCAAATAAAGCTTAGAAAGACCTCCCGTGTCACGGTGCTGAGAGTATTGGAGACACATTAAAATTAATTCAAAATTTAAAGGGGCACCTTCCAGTTAAGCCTAATCTCACAACAAATTTACTTTCTGGATTAAAATAACAATGGATAACAAAAGATAGATTAACATTGTAAACAACATAAACAATAGTGTCCCATGATTCTTTGGTGCAATCCATGGGATTGAGCGGTTCCCCTTTAAGATTTGCTTTTCAAACAAGAAGATTGGAAACTAATTTTTGTCAGCTATTTGAGATGCATAACATGAAAAAAATGTGATTCATATTATCAACATTTATAATACATACAGAAAATACATTTAATTTTTCATACATGGTTTTTAGTCTGATTAGTTCCAGAGCACCTCTGCGATGAATTCAATTTAAATCTGATCTTTTTAGATATCAGATATGGGCAAATAAAAGATAATCAATATGCATGTTTATCAACATTAAACTAATCATGTATGTTAACTAAACGAAACTAAGCAATTATTATGCATAGATTTAAGTATGTTTATTGTTTCAGGGTACACATGTACAAAGTTTGTTTATAATGTGATGATTGATTCTAACTAAATTAATAGAAAGCCGAAAGATAAATGCATTATTATGCAAATTAGGTAATTATTATAGATGTATATAAACCTAAAACTAATTAGATCATCACATTATGTTAGACTACATGTATATCAAGATTCATTGAATTAGGATAAGTGCTGTCATAGACCATCTATGTACAAAGTTTCATTGAAATGTGATTAGAACAAAAATTATGATTTATTATGCAGATTAGGTAATTAATATGATCTGATTTTAACCCAAAACTGAGCGGGTCTGTGCATTGTTCTGGAGCATCAATGTACAAAGTTTCAATGAAATGGAATAATTAGTACTTGCGATATCAGTGTAAAAGCCAAAAAATAACTGATTATGCAAATTAGTTGATTAATATGCACACATTTAATCAGGTCTTTGGATTGTTCTAGAGCATCTATGTACCAAGTTTCATTGAACAGTAATGAATTAATAGTACTTGAAATATCAAAAGCTGAAAATTGATTAATTATGCAAATTAGGTAATTAATATTTCACATATCTGTCTGTGCATCGTTCTATGTATCTATGTAAGTTTCATTGAAATGTGATGATTAGTACTTTAGATATCAGTGAAAAGGCCGAAAATTGAATAAATCATTATGCAAATTAGGTTAATTATATGCATGGATTTTTACCCAAAACAAATCACATCTGTGCATTAGTCCAGAGCATCTATGTGCCAAATTTCATCAAAATCTAATGCATGGCTCTTTAGATATCAAGGAACAGCTAAAAATTAGCTAATTATCATGCAAATCAGTATTTAATATGTATGAATTTCAACCAAAACCTAATCAAATCTGCGCATTAGCGCAGAGCATCTATAC